AATTTCCAAAAGTAGTCGGAAAGGCTCGCAGCACCCCTTTATATAGGGTGCAAGGCCGAGGTCTTTTGGCTAAGGATGCTCCACGTAGTACCTGCGAGGTTCGGACACGGAAGGGAGAGGTGGTAGCGAGGGAACGAGGCGCGTGGCAGCAGCGAGGCGAGACACGGAGCGAGCTACGAAGGGTCGAGAAGCGAACACTGATGCGAGGCGCGTCGCTCTTCTATTGGACCTCAGCTTCGGCCTATCAGAAGCTGACACGAAGAAGGCACGCATCGGTCTCGGATTCGGCCACGACTCGGTGACGCAGCAGCTTCGGCCTTGAGGCGGTTTCGCGAGAGGGGTGACATGTTTGGTTACTGTTCATGCGAAAATTTTCGAATTTTGAGCCCCGAACTTCTAAAATCCGTAACTTTCACATACGAGCTCCGTTTTTGACATTCTTTATATGCACACGTAGATAAAATCATGCTCCACAACTTTCGTTTAGACCTCGTTGGCTAATTTTTATTTTAATTTTAATATTATTATTTTTAACAGACCGGGACAGGAAAATCCGTTAAAAATTCATAACTTCTTCATCCGACGTCCGTTTTCGTCAGTATTTTTACCATTGTACTACTATTGACGAGACCTTCGATTCTCGTTTAGGTTGTGTCGGTTATGAAAAGGCCTTTAGATCAATCGATATATCAAACAAAGACAATAAATAAGAACAAGAGAAATTCACGAAGAAAAACTTTCACTAAGAAAGATAATCTCACAAAGAGATTATCGTGTGCACAAAGCGACGATTAGGGTTTGTGAAAGGCGTGCGATTCACAAACCTGTACAAGATAATATATACTGTTATTCTAGACAATCCCTACAATTCAGGGATACGCTAGCTAATAAATCAAGATAACTAAGGAAACAGAATAAATACATGATTTGTTACAATGCACTGAATAAACTAAACTAATACAAACTGAGCAGTTACACGCTGGTGCTGATGCTGAGACATGTGTTGACGCTGAGTCTGTTTTAAACATAATCATATTTCAAGGTTTGACCTTACAATCTCCCCCAATATGATGATGTTCAAAACAAACTAAATAAAGACACCTCTGGAAAGAAATTCTTCATACTCAGCTTCAGCTTCAATTTTAACTGGCCAGTAAGGACTGTCCAGCAATTCCTGTCTTCTGTTCAGCAGCGCCATGGCAATAAAATGTGAAATTCTCGGATAGATCTTGATGACTCATGCACATTTGCCTTAAGCCAACAAGGTGAGTGGTTGGAGCCTTTGGGATCTCAGTAGTTCGTTGAAAGCACATCCTCCTGTTTTTGTCTAGATAGAACATCCCGTGTTCAGGAGCTGAGATGAATTGATGCTGAACCGGATCAACACCTAGAGGAAGTGAATTGTTAATTACACCAGCACCAAAGTCTAGAACCAATACATCTTCACCATCAACATGAAACTTGGTTCTTCGAGATCTAGGAACTGACGACCTTTGGCCTTGATGCTGAGGTCGTTCTTTAGGAACAAGATCCAAACGCTGAACTTTCTTGATCAGCAGATGAAGAGCACAAGTCAGTTCTGAAGAGTGAGCTGAGGTTTGCTTGGATGCAAGATCGAGCAGTTCCATCCATTCCGAATACCCATATCTAATCAGCTCATCCCTCTTGACAACTTCAGTATATGAGTGCTGAGGACCTTGACGAGTGATCAGCAACGTAAGGATTTTCTCGTTTCGAGGTTTAGAAGCTTTGACTTTGATGATCTTATCTCCACACATTCGCCGATTAAAAACATCTTCAAATCTCTTTCGATCAATCCGGTCAAGAACACTGTCAGTCTTAGGCTTGCTAGAGCTAGGAGGTTGAGAAGACTGAGCCTTGGACTGAAATTCTAGGAATTTCTGCATCTGAGCTTCAAAAGATCCCTTGGCCTGAAGTTTGTGCTGAATAAGAGATTCATCAGCTTGAGCAATGTTCTTTAGAAGCTGAGCTCGATTGGCTTCATCAAGGATTTGCTTGACTTGATCAGGGGACATGTTCCATTCAGTGGCAAGGTTTGAAATAATGACAATAGACTTGGGTTTCTTCACAGTTGAAGAAGTATCAGTTTGAGAATGATCCAAGTCTGTATCTGCTACCTTCCGCTTTCGAGACAGCGGAGGAGATTTTTCACTGGCAATGTCCGAATCCTCTCCTTGGATTGGAATGATGGGATCAGCAATAGGATCGGGTAATATCGAATGAGATTCTTCAAGGTCATCTAACCTTTCTTGCTGAACTGGAATGAGAGGATCAATGAAGTTCATGTCAAGAATTTGACATTCATCATTAGGTTCATCATGCTCTTCATCATGCTCACTGTCTTCAAACAATTTTTCAGTAGCTGCTGGACTATTATGCCCCGCAGAATCATGCTGAAAGATAATGTTGTCAGCAGGTTCTGTGTCTTTCTCATTTGGTTCACCATCAGCATGATCATCAGCATCAGCATCATCATCAGTATCTCCCCCTTTTTGAACATCATTAGATTTGGCACTAGAGGGAGGAGTAAGTAAGAGAACCTCCTTGATTTGTTGAACATCAGCCTCAATACGAAGCAGATGTTGACTCATGTCCCGAGTCAGTGACATCAGTTCAGAAAATGCTGAAGCGGGAATTTGAACCATTGAGGTACCTGGGACAACTGGAGAGCTAGGTTGCATCCTTGGAGAGAAGTGGTGAGCTGCTGGTGATAAATGCTCCCCCTGAGACTGATGCTCCTCCTGTGATGGTTGCCCCCCAGAGGCATGGAATCCTGTGGTGCTGAGGAGGCTTTGCCAGTGGCTTGAGATGAGGTGATGAGAAAGTTGAGGGGAGAAATGGCCGCCATCATGATGTTCCACCTCTTGATCAGCATGATCCATACGATTACCATCAGCACCTCCTTCATCAGTGTCAGCGGTGAGAGAAGGCATAGTGTATGGATTGGCAATCCATTCTCTCATCCTATCGGAGATTCCAATGTCAGTATCCAAAGGATCATCCTGATACATACGAACGGACATTCGAGGGCATTGGATTGGATTCCCAGAGTGAGAAAAGTAGTCAGCAGCGAAGAATTTGTCGAACACCAGGGCAATCCAGCGTGGAAAGGGAACATGATCAGCACGCACATTTGCACGTAGAAGCTGAACAAGCTGATCAAAGAATAGTGCCCCATAATCTAATCTTTTGTTGAGAAGAAGGGAGCAGACGACTTGTTGCTCATAATTGCTCAATTGATCACCACTGCGAGACTTGTGACCCACACACTTGCATAAAGCACCAGTGAAAAACTTCCAGCCTGGGGTCATGCACTGACGCAAAATAAGAGCTGATCGAGTACCAGCCTTTGAATGATCATAGCCCAGTTGATCAAATATTCGTTTACATCTTTCAATAGTTGGAGGTTCAGAAAAGGGTTCGAAAATTGGTAACCTTAAAGCAGCACTGAGTAGTTCTGCGGTGATGAAGACAGAGTGTCTGCCATGACCAATGGTTCCGGTGATGGCATTGTTTTCTTCATTAACTGTTGCAGTATAGTAAAACTCACATACTTGTTCAGGGAAGAACTCGGACGGTACATCACTGATTGCATATCGGCAAGAAGCCAAGAAATTGACGAAATCATCGAGTCCAAGACCTCGATGAACCTCTGGAATGTCAGGGTTGAAGACGACATTGGTTGCCTTGATGTGAATTGGAAGTGGAGGAGAGTTTGGGGCAGGAACGACTCTTCGAGAGGTTGAGGAGTATGTGAACAGAGATGCCGCCATTGGAGAGTATTTGAGAATTCTAGGGTTTTTGAGAAAAGTTCAAGGTTTTGGAAGGAAAAATTAAACCAAGGGAGAAAGAGGTTTAAATATGGAATGAAAAGGGGTTTTTAAAAAGGAATAATTATCTTCATTAAAAAGGTGATGATTATCTTCATTAAGAATAACGGCGCATCGTAACAATCTGTCAGAGTAGAAAATAGCCGTTGGATAAAAGAGCCGTTGACTGAAGGTGAAACGTCAATCAGTGTTTGCGGAAGCGCTGAGCTCAGTGTCACAAAAGTTACGTGCTGAGAATATTTCTCCGTCAATTCAAGGTACAACTTGCTTAATCGGGGCTAGCAAGGAGATTGGTGCGTGTGATAGATACTAGTTACATTATCTAACCATCGGCACAGAGTGTTGTGACTTCATCAGTGAGTGGTTTATCTTACTGAATCATTAGACACTGAATAAGAGGAGGGTAAAGAATGGATTGTTGCGTGTGATAAACCTTGGTGTTTTGGTCTAACCATCGGCAAAGATTTTTAGACTCTCATCAGCGTGTGTTTTGGCACACTGAATCACAGAATCAGTGTAAGATTGGTGAGAAGGGGTAGTTGCGTGTGATAAATCTTGGTGTTTTGATCTAACCATCGGCAAAGAGTTTCAAGTCGTTATCAGTGTATGGTTTAATACAGTGAATCATTCAACTTTTGTTTAGAAGACTTGAAGAAGAGATCAAGATAAGAAATCAAACCAAAGTGCTCAGTAGCAAATATCATCAGTATGTCATCATCAGCACAATGTACATCAGCTTATAAGACAATCTCAAACATTAGCACAATTAAACGTCAAAATTAATTACAAGGAAATCATTCCCAGTTCTCCGATAATGTAAGCAGTTGATTGAGAATCCAGTGCCTTTGTGAAGATATCAGCAAGTTGCTCCGAAGTCTTGACATGTTCAAGAACAACTTTTCCTTTTTCAACATTATCTCTGATGAAGTGATGTCTGATTTCAATATGCTTTGTCTTTGAGTGCTGAACAGGATTTTGTGTGATCTGAATGGCACTGGTGTTGTCACAATATATGGGAGTCTTTGAGAACTTGAACCCATAGTCGAGAAGCTGATTTTGAATCCATAAGAGCTGAGCACAACATCTCCCAGCGGCAACATACTCAGCTTCTGCAGTTGAGATGGCTACTGATGTTTGTTTCTTGCTGGACCAGCTGATGAGACGATTGCCAAGGAAGTGACATCCACCAGATGTACTCTTTTTGTCTAAATTGCATCCAGCATAATCTGAGTCAGTGTATCCATAAAGTTCAAATGCTGAGTCACGAGGATACCACAGAGCAAGGTTTTGAGTTCCCTTCAAGTATCGAAAAATACGTTTGACAGCCATGAGGTGAGATTCTTTTGGATTAGCTTGGAATCGAGCACAGAGAATGGTTCCAAACATAATATCAGGACGACTTGCTGTGAGATATAAGAGGGATCCAATCATTCCTCGATACAGAGAGTGATTGACATCAGTTCCAGTTGGATCAGCGTGTATCTTATCAGTCTTAGACACTGGAGTAGAGGCTGGTTTGCAGTCACTGAGAGAATACTTAACAAGCAGGTCAGATATATATTTACTTTGACAAATGGAAATACCTGTCTTTTGTTGCTGAACTTCAAGACCTAAGAAAAAGGTCATCTTCCCCATCATGCTCATTTCGAACCTTTGAGACATGATCTCTGCAAATTCCTTGCTCAGTGTCTCATTTGGAGAGCCAAAAATGATGTCATCGACATAAATTTGAACAAGAACCATGTCTGAGCCTTTGTTTTTGATGAAGAGAGTATTGTCGATTGCTCCTCGTCTGTATCCATTTTCAAGCAGATACGATGTCAGCGTCTCATACCAAGCCCTGGGAGCTTGTTTCAGTCCATAAACAGCTTTGTCTAACCGGTACACGTAATCAGGATGATCTTTGTCCACAAAGCCTGGGGGCTGATTTAGGAATACTTCTTCTTCTAACACACCATGAAGGAATGCTGTTTTCACATCCATCTGATAGACAATGAAGTTCATGTAGGATGCGTATGCGAGAAACAGTCTGATAGCTTCAATGCGAGCAACTGGAGCAAAAGTTTCCCCGTAGTCGATGGATTCAATTTGAGTAAACCCTTGAGCTACAAGCCTTGCCTTGTTGCGAGTGATGATTCCATCTTTATCAACCTTGTTACGATAGACCCAGCGAGTTCCAGTGATAGTTTTCCCGGATGGTCTTGGGACAAGAGTCCAAACTTTGTGCCTTTCAAACTCATTCAGTTCTTCTTGCATGGCTTTGATCCAATCAGCATCTTGAAGAGCTGTGTGTACTTTATCAGGTAAGATCATTGAAACAAAGTTAACATACATGCAAAAGTTATTAAGTGCACTAGATCTGGTTCGGACACCATCATGAATATTCCCTATAATTCGATCAACAGGATGATCTCGATGTTCAATGACTGATGCTGATTCCGGAGAGATAGACACTGACACATTATCAGTTTCAGGAGAATCTTCAGCTTCAAGGGTTTCATCAGCACTTAATGAATTATCTGCTGATGTGGCTGCAATATCTTGATTCAAGGAACATGGAACTGGAATGATAGGATCAGAGGAATCAGTCTTATCTTCTGCAGAAGGTGCTTCATCGAATGGACAAGAGAGAAGCTCTTGAAAGATAGAAGGAGAATGAGTGACTTTTTCATCAGTGTATGATTCCTCATCAAACTTCACATGAATGGATTCTTCAACACATTGCCTATTCACATGAAAAACACGAAAAGCCTTTGAAATAGATGAGTACCCAACAAAAATACCTTTATCAGCCTTAGGTTCAAACTTGGATCTTGGGTCACGCTGATTTAGAATATAACAAATGCATCCGAACACATGAAAAAAGGATACATCTGGTTTTCGATCTTTCAGCATTTCATATGGAGTCTTCTTGTGAATCCTGTGAATTAGAGATCGATTCTGAGTAAAACACGCTGTATTGACAGCTTCAGCCCAAAACGACATAGGAAGACCAGCATGGATCATCAAGGTTCTTCCTGCCTCAATCAGTGTTCTATTCCTTCGTTCAGCAACACCATTTTGCTGAGGAGTACGAGGAGCTGAGAAGTTTTGTCCAATTCCTTTATTGTCACAAAATTCTTCAAGAGTTGAGTTTCGGAACTCAGTACCATGATCACTTCTTAGTTGCTTAACTTTAAGACCTGTCAGTGTCTCATTTTTACGAATCAGTGAGATAATTTCCTGTGCAGCATGACTTTTCTTCTTCAAGAAAACTACCCAAGTAAATCGAGTGAACTCATCAACGACCACTAGAGTATACTTATTTCCACCTAGTGAACGAACAGGAATAGGTCCAAACAGGTCCATGTGGAGTAGATAAAGAGGGACTGATATACTGGAACATGACTTGGGTTTGAAAGAGGACTTGGTTTGTTTTCCTTGTTCACAAGCTGAGCACATCTTGTCTTTCACAACGCTGAATTTTGGGAGCCCTCTAACTAGGTCTTGATTGGATATCTTGGATAGATTCTTGAAGTTCAGATGAGAAAACCTTTTGTGCCAAATCCAGCTAAGATTCGTCTGAGACTTTGTAAAGAAACATTGCATCAGTGCCTTGTCACTTGAGAACATGTCAAGAACATATATATCATCTTTTCTACTTGCTGAGAGTACGATGTTCTTGTCAGTGTTTACAACTCTTCCTTCCTTCTTTGTAAAGTGAACTTCATAGTCAGCATCACACAACTGACTGATAGAAATGAGGTTGTGTTTGAGACCCTTTACATATGAAACGTTTTGAAAAACCACGTTATTGCATTTGATGTTTCCATATCCCTTAGTGAACCCCTTTCCATTGTCTCCATAAGTAACTGCAGGACCAGTTTTCTTAACATAATCTTCCAGGAGAGACTTTGATCCCGTCATATGCCTTGAGCAACCACTATCTAAATACCAAAGATGCTCCTGACCCTGCAGTACTGAGAAACTAGTTAGAACACACTGACCCATTCAAAGATGGGTCATTCACAAAGTTATTTGATAATAGATTATAACACTCCTTAGGAAGACAGTTTAAAGAGTTTGACTTAAGAGTCCATTTTTCATTTCTAACTTTAATATTTTCAGCTCTTGAGGATGATTTATCAAAAGAACATTCACTGATCTTGTGAGAGGAATTACCACATCTGTAACAAACTCTAGTACCAAAGTTCTTCTTGGTGAGCAAATTTTTTGATTTAACACATTTTGACATGTAAGATTCACCAAGAGAGCTTTGAGTCCTTTTGCTTATCATTGAGTCACGACTGAATACAATATCAGTTTGAGTTTGATTAGTGTTAGGTGATAAACTGTCAGTATCTGATTTTGACTCATTCACAGATGGATTGCAATCAGGGAAGTGCTTGAGTTGTTCATGAACAGCATGAAACACTCCATTTGAGATAGGAAAAGCAATAATATTCTCAGTTAGAGGGATTGGTCTAACAAGATGTGCAGGATAAGAGGTAGGATCAATTCCGGTAATTTCAACATTACACTCAGTGATACCATCAGAATTAGTAATGCAATATTCATCAATTAAACTTTGATTAATAAAAGAGTTACTGACAAACTTATTTTTGAAATTGTTTTTCATCACATTCATGGAATAGACCTCAGATTCCTTTTCTTGTGATTTAAAAACTTTTTCAGCTTCTGCAAAATTACCCCCAAGAATTTTCTCACAAGAATGTGGAATTTGAGCTGAAATAATATAATTAGCATTCTTATGAGATTTTGCCCAAGTGTGAAGCACAGTTTGTTCTTTGATCAAAAGATTTTTAACATCATCAATTTCAGCAGACAAAGATGAATTTGACAAACTAGTAATTCTAAGATTTTCCTGAGTGGACTCAATAATACTATTTTTCATGGATATATCAGTTTCAAGAAGATCAATTTGATTTTGCAAATTTCTTATGGTTTGATTCTTCTTAGAATTAATGACACCCAAATACTCAAACATTTTGATTTTTTCATTCATTGAATAGGAAACAAAGTTTTTAACCTGGTACATTGAAGAAGAGTCAATGTTGTGCTTCCTGGAATTTTCAGCATCAGACATATCAGTGTCAAAAGTACTTTTGTCTTTATCAGAAATAGCCGGGTCCTCCATTTTGACCATTAGACACTTGACTTCATCATCTGATGACTCTTCATCAGTTTTCCATTTTTCTTCTTCAGCTACAAGCACTTTATGTTCCAAGTTTTCAGCTTTCAGCTTCTCAATCAGCTTGTTGTACTTCTGCTTCCAGTATTCATCTGAGCCTTGTTTCTTTTGTTTACAATCCTTTGCAAAATGATCAGTGCTCCCACAGTTAAAGCACTGAGCCTTCTCTTTCTTATCAGCACCATGCCTTTTATCAGCTCCTGACCCTTTTGAGAACTTTCCACCCATCTTCTTTTGAAACTTTGAGAAGTTTCGACCTGATTTTTCAAAGGTCTTCACAATCAAGGCTGCACTTGCCACAACCTTTTCAAGATCATCAGTGTCAGTTTTAGATGAATCAGTATCTGAATCACTTTCAGTGTCTGAATCTGACACCAGCTTTTTGTTGGAGAACAAGGCTACAGAGGATTCACGCTGAGAATCTTTCATCAGTTCCTTTCTTTGAAGCTTGGATTCTTCATAGTATCGAAGATTTCCATAGAGACTTTGTAAGTCCATAGAGTTGATCTTCTCACTGTTTTTCAGCACATCAACATGATTCTCCCAACCTGCACCCAGAGAATCCAAAAACTTTTGCACTAGAACAGTTCTATGCTTCAACTGATCTAGTCTCCGAAGATCATTAACAAGAGTATTGAATCTGTTAAAAGTTTGAGTCAAGGTTTCACCTTTCTTAGCAAAAAAATGTTCATACCTTCGATTAAGATCATTTATTTGAGTAGCCTTGACTTCTTCAGTTCCTTCAAAAGATACAGTCAGAGTATCCATCATCTCTTTTGCTGAGATGCAATTTTGAACCAGCCCAAAGATGTTGTATGGCAGAGAGTAGCTGATTGCGGCACGAGCACGAACATCTAGACCATGTTTTCTCTTGTCATCTGCCGTCCAGTTTTCTTTGGGAGTTTTCTTCATAGTACCATCAGGAACATTATTTTTAAGAGGCTGATACATCGAAACATAAGGACCTTTTTCAACGATGTCCAGCATGTCTTCATCAACAGACTCTAAGGCATATAGAGCCTTTATTTTCCACATAACAAAGTTTGTTTCATCGAAAGGAGGGATTTTAGCAGAAGGATGATTTGATGAGTTTGATGAAGAAGAAGATGAAGCCATTTGTTTGATAAAAGAAACCCGCTCTGATACCAATTGAAAAGGCCTTTAGATCAATCGATATATCAAACAAAGACAATAAATAAGAACAAGAGAAATTCACGAAGAAAAACTTTCACTAAGAAAGATAATCTCACAAAGAGATTATCGTGTGCACAAAGCAAACGATTAGGGTTTGTGAAAGGCGTGCGATTCACAAACCTGTACAGGATAATATATACTGTTATTCTAGACAATCCCTACAATTCAGGGATACGCTAGCTAATAAATCAAGATAACTAAGGAAACAGAATAAATACATGATTTGTTACAATGCACTGAATAAACTAAACTAATACAAACTGAGCAGTTACACGCTGGTGCTGATGCTGAGACAAGTGCTGACGCTGAGTCTATTTTAAACATCGCTAGATCTTAAATTCGAGTATTTAGCTATCTACTGCTAAGCTAAAACTTAGAAAAATCATAACTTCCTCATACGAAGTCAAATTTTGACGTTCTTTTTATCAAAATTCTAAGTTTAACGAATACTATGACTTTTGTTTAGATTGTTAAGGCTAAAAATCACTTTATCGCAATATTCACTTTTTACGCTTCCCCGTGTCGTGCCGGTTTCGCCGCGAAACTTCGACATGTCATAACTTCTTCGTTATAACTCGGATTTCGGCGTTCTTTATATCTCTGGAATCCTTGTTTCGACCACTACAACTTTCTTAAAAGATATCGGTTTTTTCTAATATTTATTTTAAAGGCTTATTTTCATTATTAATTAATTAAATCATAATAATTAAGCAAACAATCATATAATTCACATAATATTCACATAATTCCTCTTTATTACTTCAAAATGAGTTACAAAGGTTGACCTAGACTATTACAACTTTATTAATGCTTTTAGCCCAGAAACACGAGCATTACAATTGTCTCCCCCTTAGGATGATTCCGTCCTCGAAATCACACATTAGCAAACAAATACGGGTAGCGACTCATCATGTCACTCTCCGTTTCCCAGGTGAGATTTGGCCCATTCGTATGTTTCCATTGTACAAGCACTAAATCGACCATCTTGCGTTGCAACTTTTTAGTCTTACGGTCAACAATTGCCTCTGGTTTTTCGATTAACCTCTAGCTTTCATCCAGCCTTAACTCAAATATTGGAATTATGTCGGGAACATCTCCCGTGAACTTCCTTAAATAAAACACATGGAAAGTGTTATGAATACCATCTAGTTCTTCTGGTAGTTCTAGCTTGGAAGCTTGATTCCCAATCCTCTAAAGAACTTTAAATGGTCCAATAAACCTTGGACTCAACTTTCCTCTTTTACCAAATCTTATAAGTCCCTTCCACGATGAGACTTTAAGCAAAACCGAATCACCAACTGCGAATGTTATCGGTTTTCTTTTCTTGTCAGCATAGCTCTTTTGACGATCCTAAGCTGCTAACATCCTTTCCCTAATCATTTTCAACTTTTCAGCAGTCTGATGGACTATCTCAGGTCTCATAAACTGCTTTTCTCCAGCTTCAAGCCAACAAGACAGCGTACGACACTTCTGTCCGTACAAAGCGTGCTAAGGTAGTCCATGCATAGTCCATGGAGGTTTTCACCCATGGATCCTAGGTAAGATGAAAAGTCATTCATATTAGGGTTTACATGGATGTAACCCTAATCTTAGCCACACTATATAAGAAGACCCTAGGCTACTAAAATCGGCCGTAATGTTCTTGGAGTTCATAACAAATTTTAGCATGCATAAACTCTCTCAAAACTCATCCTCTTTCTAAGTTGTGTTGTGATACCATTTGAGGTGCAATACTTGGGGCACTAGGTTCTTAAAGTCCAAAACTACAAGCTACAAAAAAGAGGTAACTCTATAACTCAATTCTATGTTTTTAATATCAATTGTATGTTAGTTGTAGGCTTCAAGCTTTGGAAACAATATTGCATGTATAATTAGAGAAAACATAAATCCAAAGCTTTTAAGGTTTTATGTGCACCATAGGATATTGCAGTGTACAAAAACCCAACACATACTACCTTCCATATATATCCGTACTTTCCTCAAGGGTTTCTTCGACTTCACCAAGTCCATTCAACTATTGATGCACTATGTGCTAATCTCATCCTAGGCTTACCCTAGGGTAAATCTCCGACCTACTCTCCGACATCAGCTACATATGGAATTCCTGCTACCTTCACCTAACAAGTTTGCGAATATCATTACATATCGCTAAGACCAAATAATACTTCGAGTGAGAGATCCTACAATACAACGGTTGGACTCAAACAAGAGTTGCGAAATAAAGTTAGACCTAACCTTCTAAAATTATATAGTCCTTGCAATATATAACTTAATGTATCCATTCACTAGTTAGTTAAAGATTTCTAAAACTCCTAAAAGCACAAAGCAAGCAGCATTCAGGGTTTGGGTAACCAAACCAAGCATGTCCTATGCTATCATACGACTGACTAATCAGTTCTAGCTTAAGTATATACAACAAGAACATAAGGAATCCTTCGTAGATCCTTCGCTCTAATCTAGCATGCAGTTCTCATAATCATATCATATCATAACATGAAATGCATGGGTATCTTAGGGAAAACTTACTTGAGCTTGGTTGTTTGCACGCATCACACACCTTTTTCTTTCTCAAAACTCTTTACTTTAACTTTTGGAAAAACTATTACCTTGTAAAAATCTTTCAAACCCTCGATTTGAGTTCAAACACTCCCGAGAGTGAGTCTAAATCCCTTAAACCAAGGATCTGATACCAACATGTAACATCCCAACTTTCAAGACCAAAAATTTCATTTTGATTTAATGATTTAGAAAAACATTTATAAGAAAACATCATTTCATAAAACCATAATCACATGTCTTAAAACCATATCATAAAAGTCGTAACAATATCAGAGTACAATCCCAAGAATCTCATAATGCGGAAATCATGTCTGTGTGATGCATTGCTACCCTGCCGGCTCCTTCCGCTTCAAAGAAGAGGTACCTGAAAACATAACTGAAAATTGTAAGCATGATGCTTACTGAGTTCCCCCATCATACCGCACACTATAAACTTATAATGCCTATCCCTCGGTATCTTTCAACTGGCATCTAACATGCATAACCGGAAGCTGGGCTTCCCTTCGGTATCTTTCAACCGGTAGCCGAAAGCTGACCTCCCCTTCAGTATCTTTCAACCGGTAATCAAGGAGTATTTCACCACCTACCACTACCACATAATAACATATCATGAATATATAGCTAGGCGTGCATGGGTGTTGTCTACCCCTTCAGTATCATTCAACTGGTAACCGGGGACTGTT